GGGGGGGGGGGGGGGGGGGGGGGGGGGCGGCGGGTACTGGGGCCCCCGTGGGTTTCCCGTGGGCCAGCCCTTCTCCGTGCAGTTCCCCGACGTGGGGCGGGGCGGGGTGGTGCAGAGCCTAGTCGGGTGTGGAGAGCAGTGGGCGCGGGGGCGCCTGCGAGGGGCCGCTGGCACCTCTGGGCTCCACTGCCTTCCCTGGGCCTTCGTTCCACCCTGTTCTGATCCCCCATCCCTACAGTGAAGTAGCAGCGGGGACCCCAGTCCGCCTGCTGAGTGGGGGTCTCCTGCGGGGGGTGGGCCTCTTCCTGCTGCAGTTCCCGGGCTGTACAGCAGGTGGCGCTGTCTGTGCATGGCAGGGGCCTGTCTAGGTGTGGATGGATGGGAGCCACACCAGCATCCTGGGGCTTGCCCGAAGTTAGTTTTGATGACGCAGCACATGCAGGGTATCGCCCTGTGTGACCGGCACCGTCCTAGCTTCCCTGCCCACAGTCCCCGGGCTCTGTGTAACTGACCTGACCCTCGGCTTGTGCTGGACGCTGGGTCAGTGCCCGGCCTTCGTGTGATGCACAGCCAAGAGGATCTTCACAGTCTTGCATGGCGCCTGAGCTTTCTGATGACTGAGTCTCACCGGTTCTTTGGCTTGTTAGTGAAGGTGAAATGAAGCTGGGCAGCCGCGTTCCCAGTGCTCTGCGGCCCCCCACCCCCGCCGCCCTGGCAGTCCAGGCCTGCATTGCCAGCTGCCCCAGGACCCTCAGAGGGCTGGGCATACAGCCTGCCTGGGGTCTTCTTGGAATGTGGGAGGAGCCAGCAAGCGGGAGGCGGCGGCCCGGCTGGCTCAGTCCCGGCCCTCCCCACCTGAGCGCTCCTTAGCAGCTCGTGGGCCCCGTTCTTGGGGGTGCCTGGAGCGTGCCCCCTGGCCTCCCCCAGCTCCACTGAGGGCCGAGAGCTGTTGCAGGCGGTGAGCTGTTGTTTCGGACTCTCCTTCCCTCGCCAGGGGCTGGTGGGTTGGAGTTGCCTCTGTACGGAGCTTCCTTTGCTCCAGTGACACAGATGATGGTCTGTTGCCACTCTCACTCATAAACGCTCAAAACAGTCCCAAGAGGGGCCGACGAGATGGCAGAGGGCACCCGTGTCTCTGTCCCCAGATCCAGGCAGGGTGTCCCATTCTCGCTTCCTCCGCCCAGGTCTGCTTTGGGGCCTTTGCACTGCACTCCGCATGCAGGCTCCTCCGGCAGCCGCTGGGCTGTTGGGCCGCCTCCCCCGTGAGTCTCTGGAACACCGCCCTGGCCCTGCCCTCCTGCAGCGAGCCCACGACCCTGACCTTTCCTCCTCTCCCACACCACTCAGACATTCAGCTCTCTGAGCTCCAGCTTCTGAAATGGCCTCTCGTTTTCTGAGAACAAAGGCACCTCCAAGAGGTGGTGTGCAGAGCCTTGCCGCCCCCATCCCCCTCTCTGCGTCACGCTCGGTCCTCCCGTGGGGAAGGGGGTAGGCACTTGAGCATGGTGGGGGCTGGGGACCTCGGGCCCTGGGCCCCCTGCAGCCCTGGTGGGGGGGTGGTGCCGCCCTTTGCTGCTTCGGGCCAGCCCAGCACAGCCTGCACGTCAGCCTTGCCCCTTCTGAGTGTCCGGGTGCTGGGCAAAAGGCCCTCACACCAGTGTCTACATATGGTGTGTTGCCCTTGAGGCCTCCGGTTCTCCTGCCGCCGCCTCGGGGGGCTTTGGTGTCCTGGCTAGAATGGCCAGTCACAGGCTTTGCTGGCCAAAGCCGGTGGGCACCAGCAGGGGCGAGCCACGTGCTTTGTCTTCCTAGGGCGTGCGGACAGGTTCAGGGTCACTGGGGTGGGCTGTCCGTCCTGCGTCCCAGCCTTCCCTGGTCTGGGTCCTCCCAGCCTCGCTTCGCCGTGTCCCAGGCAGCCCCTCGTGTCAAGACAGGGAGGTGCCCCGGCTGCGTCCTTCCCCATCAGCCGCGTGCTTAGCGTCTGCCCCGTGCTGGGCGCCCGGCTCTAGAGGCCAGGCCTGCGGGGGAGGGGGCTCCGCTCACTCAAGCCACCCCTCCCCGTACGGGCACCCACGGGCGTCCCCACCTCTCCCAGGCAGGGGAGGGCCCTCTGCCCGTGCTGGCCCCTGCACCCACCGCTGGTCTCCCCGGCAGGGATGCTGGAATACGAGCCGGCCAAGCGGTTTTCCATACAGCAGATCCGGCAGCACAGGTGAGTCCCCGCAGGGCTCCCCCACTTGGAGGCCCATGGGGTGAGAGCGAGTGGGGGCAGGGGAGGGGGAGGTCAGGCTGCGGGGGTCTTGCTGGCTCAGTCTCTCCCGTTGGGCCCCTTCCCCCTCCCCCACCCCGCGTGGTTCTCGGTGGGAATTGGGGGTGGGCCCACGTGGGGAGCCAGGCAAGCCTCCGGCTGCCCTGACCCGCCCGCTTCTGCAGCTGGTTCCGGAAGAAGCACCCGCCGGCCGAGGAGCCGGTGCCCATCCCGCCGAGCGCGGACTGCAAGGACCGGTGGCGCGGCATGACGGTGGTGCCCTACCTGGAGGACCTGCACGGCTGCGCCGACGCTGCAGATGACGAACTCTTCGACATTGAGGACGATATCATCTACACTCAGGACTTCACGGTGCCCGGTGAGTCCCCCGGGGGTCACGGGAGAAGTGGGGAGGCCCCGCCCCGGCCCGAGGGTCCGGTGGCCCTCTCCGCAGTGGCCACCCTTCTGACGAGTGGCCTTCCTCCCCAGGTGGCGAGGAGGCGTCTGAGGCAGGGCTTAGAGAGAGAGACCCGCAGGAGAGCCAGTGCTCAGACCTTTCTGGAGAGGAAGCTGAGGCCAGGGCCGCCGAGGAGCTCCAGGCAGAGCCCGGGCCCTAGTGTAGCGCTGCCCCACCCACCTCCCCGCGGTGCTGTGCTGTCCCGGGGCTGGTTCCGCAGGCTCCTGCATAAAGGTCTGCCCCGCTGAGCGTGTGCGGGTCATGCTTGTTTCCTTCCGGCTTGCCGGCCAGGGCTTAGGCGTTTATTGTAGAAAGAGCCCGTGTGCAGGGTGGCCAGTGGGGCCTCCAGGGAGCAGCCCCAGGGTGGGTCCGCGTGTCCCACTCACCTGGGGGCACACTCAGGCTTCTGGTACATCTGGCTGCAGCTGTTCCCCATGGGGTCCTGGGGTCAGGTAGGATGCCCCCACCCTGGGAACCCTGGGCACGGTCCAGTCCTGAGTCAGGCCTCCTGGATCCTCCGTCCTTTCCACAGGATAGAAGCAAGGTGTCCTGCCTATCAGAGGCACTAGGGCCCCGGGACAGGTGCCTGGGCGTGAGCCGGCTGGCTGTAGAGGCACTGACCACACACCGTCTCTTCAGGCCTGTTCCAGAGGCTTGGGGCTGCTTTGTCTGGGTGGGGGAGGGCTTGTTCAAGAGCGGCTCTCTGGGCCCGTGCCAGATCCCTGGCCTGGGAACGTCCACCACATGAGACGTGGGGACGGACGGTCCTGTGCTGAGGTCGGGCAGCCACTTCTCGCTGACCTGCCCGTGGGCCGGCAGCGGGCCGTGTTGGGGCTTCTCCCGTTCTGGTCCTGTCGTGTGGTCACGGTCAGAGGCTCTCAGCTGCTCCCCTGGGTCCCTGGTCCTGCCGTCCACCCTGAGGGCTGGTGCTGGGCCTTGGGCCGGGTGTTGGTTGGTCAGGGCCCATGGCCCCAGTGCCTTGAGGGCATGTGGGGCAGATCCCGTGCCCTCCAGCCACCCTCCGACCGTGGTCACTGTGCCGGAGGCTGGGCCCCAGGTGATCTGTGCAGAGTTTTGGTGCTCGGCGCCCCTGCAGCCCCCCTCCCGCTTCAGAGCAGGCAGCTGACACTGCCCCACGCTCTGGGTTCTGACCTGAGATGCTTCCCGGTCACGGGCCGGTGCCTCCCGGCTAGGTCCAGAGGCCAAGTCAGGCACAGGACGCCATTGGCGGAGACGGGGCTGCGTGTGCGGAGGAGATGGGCTTGAGGCAACTAAGGGCAGTTTCCTGCAGACATCCATGGGAGGGGGGTGCACCGTGGACAGCACGGGCTTCCCGCACCCTTCCCTCCCCCCACGCCTCAGCGGGGACAGAGTGGGGCGGGCAGCCCCGGGCCGGTGGCCCCGGGACCCGGTGAGGGCTGGCAGCCCACACGGTCGGGGCCGGGGCATGGCAGGCACCTGTGACGGCCTCTCCGTTTGTGCCCGGCGTGGAGAGCCGGGGCGGGCTCTTGTGGGAGAGACGGCGAGTCCGGACACCCGGCACGAGCCCAGCCCCTCCGAGTCCCACGGGGCCCAGCGAGATCTGGCCATCGCACAGGTGAGAGAGCCAAGGCTCGGGCCCCAGGTCCCTGATGTCCACCGTGTTCCCACCCACCTGAGTGCAGGGCTCCACTCACCTGAACAGGCAGGTGAGCGTAGTCTGGGCCCCGCCCCAGCCGGCTTGAAGGCCAGCCCCGCTGCTCCCTGGATGGGGGCCCCATTGGCAGGACCTGGTGGGACAGGTGGTGGAGGTGCCCTGGGCCCTGGCAGGCGGGGCGCTGGGGGCATGTTGGTCGGGGACCCCCAGTCAGCACAAGTTTGCCTTCTCCCTCCTAGGACAGGTCCCGGAGGAGGAGGCTGGGCGGAGCGCGCAGAGCCGGGGCCCGCCCAAAGCCGTTTGTGTGAATGGCACCGAGTCAGCCCAGTTGAGCGCCAGGTCGAGGGCAGAGCACCGGGCCAGTGCCGCCTCCAACCCCGCCCGCAAGGCCTGCTCGGCCAGCAGCAAGATTCGCCGGCTGTCAGCCTGCAAGCAGCAGTGAGGGTGGCCGCCTGCAGGTGGGAAGTGGCGGGGACCGGAGGAATGGGTTGGGGGGCATGCCGTGGGCACTGCCCTGCTTGGCTGGTGTCACTGTCACGGCCTGTGTCTGTCGCCCCCGGGGTCTGGGTTGGAGGTGCAGGAGGTCACTTTCATCAGGGCGTTGGCCACACACTGGGGTCGGGGGGGCGGCGTGTGCAGGATCAGGGCCCCTAAGCCGGCAGCCTGTCTTGCAGACCTGCGGGGCTCACCCCCACCCCGCTAGGCTGCTTCTGCGACAGGGCGATGCTGGCATCAGACCAGGCTGGGGGTTGGGGGGTGAGCAGGCCAGGAGGGGCTGGGCTCTGACTGAGGCCGTCATCTCCCCTCCCTGCTTCCTCCTCCCAGCCCTGACTGCCCAGTCCACAAAGGGCGATTGGGCCCCAGAGGCACTGGAGACCCCATCTACTGCTCAGGATGTGAGCAGTGGGGTAGGGGCCTGAGGCTACAGCCCCTGTCCAGCCATGTCCCCTCTCCCAGGGAGCTGCCCCTGAAACACCTCCCAAGGAATTTGTATGGCAGCAGCAGAACCAGCCAGGTGGGGTAGGAACTCTTTGGAGGGAGGCCCGGTTCCGTGGCAGAAAGGCCGTGCTTAATCCCACCGGGTGGCCAGAGATGCCCAGGGTGGCTCTTGAGGCAGCGCAGCCCTCCCTGGCTTCCTGAGGCGGCTGACAGCACTGAGGCGAGACCAGGCCTCAGTTTCCCGACCCTCTGGGCAGCCCCAGGGGGGCCTGCTTCCTGGGATGCAGGGCCTTTCGTTGACCCAGAAGTGACCCACCTTCTGGTCTCAGCCTGTCTCCAGGAGCCCCGGCCAGATCCTGCTCAGTCTTCCCGCCGACTGCTGGCCTGCTGCCCACTGCCCAGGAAGGCCGCCGCTGCACCCTTTGTGCTGACTGCCCCTCCGGAAGCCGGAGGGTCCTGGAGGGCTGTGGTTGGCGGACAGCGGGGACTGGGGTCCGCCCTCCCCTGGTGGCCGGTGGACACGACCTCCTGCTGACTGCAATCCTGTGCTGAGCCCCTTCCCCCCGCCGGGGGAGGGGGGAGTGGGCCCGGCGCGGCCCCATGCCAGCCCTCGCCATGCACTTTACGTTGAGACTACTGGTTCTCGCCCGCCCCGACCCCTCTTTTTACTCTGCCACTTGTTAGCGCCTCCCACACCTGGTGACGTGTTCCCACCAACCACAGCCTCAGCGGGACGGGCAGGACAAGCGGGCCTGTCGACCGAGATGCATGCCCAGTGCCCAGGGGAGCCCGGCGGCTGCCTTGTTTTCATTGTTTGGTTGGTTCTTTTTTCTTCTCCTTTTTTAAGAAAAAATAAAACAGGTGGATTTGAGCTGTGGTTGTGAGGGATGTTTGGGAACTGTGGGTGGCAGGACGTGCTGTCAGGTTGGGGGGTCTGAGCCTGAGCCTGGGGCCCTTTGTGGACCCCACAGTGGACGGGCTGGCCCGGGTCTGCAGGTCTTGCTGGTGGTGCCGGGCGGAAACGGGGGCCTCCCACGTGTGTCTGCCTCTCACCATGCTGGATCTCTGTGCTCTCTGGTGACCCGGCTTCCCCAGAGCTCCACAGGCCCCTCTGCTCAGCCCAGGGGCCACAGCTCCACAGTGCAGTGGCCAGGGGGGGTCTGATCCCCTTTCGCCCAAGGCCTCTGTACTCCTGGGTCCCCAGAGAAAACCCAGAGCAAGCAAGAGTATGCAGTAAATATAATCAATCAGAAAACAACACAAACTCCATCACTGGATGGTACACAGACAGCACGAAGCTTCGAGGGGCGGGGCAGGGCGACTCGGCCGCTGGCGAGGTCTGCCCCATCTTTTGGCAATAAATAAAGCTTGGGAAACTTGAAACCTTGACCGTTTGGGTTTTGTGTCTCAAACACTGGTGAGTCCTGGCTGCTCTTTGGACGGTGTGGTTACGGGAAGTGCGGCCCGTTCAACATGCGGAGGGCGGGTTCAGGGTGCAGACACCGGGAGGGAGGGGACCGGGGGGGGCGTGTACCGGGCTGTGGGCGGCGGCGGCGGCGGGTACGGTTATTGCTCGTAGGGGGCGCGGACTGCCGCGAGCACTCGCCGCGGTGAGGTAAACGGCTTCGGGGGCTTGGAGGTCACGGCCTCGAGCTAACCTCACAGCACGGGCCGCGCGCCCTCTCTTCGCGGAGCCTCGGCGCCCCTTGGCCCCTGCGCGTGCGCCTTAGCGCGAACTCCGGCGCGTGCGAACCGGACATGTGCGAACCGGACGCGTCGCTAGGCTCGATTGGTGTTGGGAGGGGCGCTCTGCGCATGCGTTTCGCGCAGTCGGCTCGCATCGCCCCTCCAGGATGCAAGTCCTACGCATGCGCTTCCTGTTGCGTCGTGCCGTGGGCGCGGCGGCGCCGGTCACTAGCCCGAGGCCGCTGTCTGGGGCCAAGGGAAGTTGAATGTGGTCCTCGGAACCCCGAAGTTGAGAATCCGCCACACTCCCTTTAGTCGACCCGATGAAGTGCCCGGAGGGGACTGTGTGCGTGCGCACTTTGGGCTGGCGCAGGGTGCCTGGGACACTGCGTGCGTGCTTGAGGCCCGCGGTCCCAGCGCAGGCGCGCCGGGGCGTCGCACCCCAGGTGTGTCCAGCGCCGAGGCCCCACCGGTGCCGAATAAGCTGACGAGGTGGGCACGGGGCGCAGGCTTACACCGGGCTGTGGTCGGGGGACGTGGGCGCGGCCACGGCCAGCGCAGGGGCCGCGGCGACGGGCTGGGCCAGGCGCGGCGAGAAGAGCCTGTCGTCGAGGCTGGCCGCCAGCTTATCCAGCAGCGCGCCCGGGGGTCCGGCGCAGAGGCCGGAGCCAGGGCAGCCGCCGCCGGGCTCCTCCTCGATGACTGGGATGGGAGGCGCGGCCGGGTCGTCGCCCGCGCGGCCGTCGGGTGGGCAGTCGACGCTGTCTCCGCGGCGCAGGGGTGCGCGTGCGGGGCGGGGGGCGCCGGGCTGGGCTGCAGGTGGGGCGGAGGGTGCGGCACGCGCGCCTGGGTCGCTGTGCTGCCGGCCGCGCTGCTGCCACTGCTTGCGCGTGTGGGGGTGCGGGTGCGCACGCGCGCGGTGGCGCGCTGCGGCGGGAGGGGCGTCGTCGAAGTGCGGGTCGTGGCGCAGGAACTCGTGGAACAGCGCGTCTGTCTTCTCGTCGATGCTGTAGTCGCGGCGCGGGGCACGGCGAGGCCAGGCGCGCGGGCTGCCAGGCCGGGCGGGTGCCTCGGGCGCGGGACCCTCGAAGCTGCAGCCCACGGTGGCTTCGCGGCCCGAGCTCGTGAAGGAGGAGCGCTTCTCGGGCGCGCTGGGGGGCCCGTCGTCGCCTGCGCCGCGGCCCTCGATGCTGGCGTAGCCGCTGTCCATCTGCAGCAGCTTGCGCGGCCCGCCCGCCTCGCCGTCCGCCGTCCGCGGTGTGGGCGGCGGTGAGGGTGGCGGGAAGGCGGGTGCGGCGCCCCCGGAGCCCGAGCTGTCGCCGCTGCGCACCGAGTCGCGGTCGTTGCCGCTGCTGCTGTGGTCTGAGGCGGTGGCCGCGTGCAGCTCGAGCGAGGCGCGCAGGCTCCAGATGTCGCGGTAGATGGTCTGAGCCTGCTCTGGCCCCGCGTCGCGCTCACCATCCGAGTCTTGCTGCTGCTCAGGCCCCGCGCTGACGCCGCACTCCGGGGGGAACTCGGGGCTCGCTCCTCCTGCGGCGCCCACCTCCTCGGCTGCCTCTAGCCTGCAAACCAGGCCGCAGCCGTCAGGAGGCAGCCCAGGCCCCCCGCACCCCCTCCCCGGCCACCCTGCCTCTGGGTCCGGGAGGGGGGGCACGGGTGGGAACCCTCTAGGGTTGGCCAGGCCCTGTGGAAGATGATGTATTTGCATGCTGCCTGTTCACTCTGCACTGGATGCTTTTTGGGTAAACCCGGAGCCGTCCTGGCGCCTGCCGTTCAACCAGGGCCTCTTGCAAAATGTGACCAGAGCATCTGCTGCCACTGCAGGCAGTTGGCCCTTCGCCCAGAAAGAGTGAAGGCTGTTCTCGGGAGATGGCCTTCTTTGACTAAGAGCTTCATGTACCAAGGGGTGGCTGGGGATGGACTGGACCAAGCAGGGTCCAGCTCAGCCCCTACGCCTGGTGACTCTGGGTGTGTCGCCTCAGCCCCCCACCATAGACTGACAAGTAGCCAGGAGGAAGATACACACAAAGGAAGTGTTAACTACCCAGACCAGGAAAGGCCCAAGAGTCGGGAGCCCTGCTCCCGGGATCCAGTTCCCCATCCCACTGACGTGGGCCCAGAGCTTCAGCAGGGTTGTCCTTGGGCTGCGGGAGGGGGTACCGCTGGCAGAAGTGGTCACAGCAGTTTCTGAGTAGCGGCCTCCAGCCCTCAGGAGCATGGACAGGCAAGAGGGACACTGGGGCCACAGCGGAGCCCTTTAGGCTCCACCAGGAAGCAGCGATACCCACGTGGGCACATACCCACAGCGGCCCTACTTGAGCAGGCATTCTGTCTTGGAGGCCCCGCCCGCCCCTCTACCCTTACCCAGTCTCCCCCTGCTTCCCTCCTCTGGTCCGTGCTGGAGAGGTGGCCCCAGCGAGGCAGCCTCCGGGGAAGGAAGGTGGAGCCAGAGGAACACGACCGCCTGTCCGAAGGGCAGGGAGAGCGCTCCCTGGGCCACCTATGGGGGATGGGGTGGGGCAGGGGCCCACCCCTAGCACCTCTATCTACTGAAAAATACCTGCCGAGAGTGGGGGGCGGGCTGGCAGGGCTGGCAGGGCTGGCGGGGCTGGCCAGAAAGGGGCGGGGGCTCGGGAAGGCCACAGTGTCGCCAGCGCTGGCGATGTACTGGATGAAGTCCACGTGGGGGGCGTCCCCCTCCTCGTGCTCCATGCTCTCGCTGGCTGCCCGCTGCCGCTGGAAGTGGTGTCGCTTGGGGGAGCCTGTGCAGAGGAAGGTACAGCAGCCTGCCTGGGCCCCTCCCACCGCAGGACCCGCCGCCTGACCCCTGAGCCAACAGAGCCAGCCTGGACCAGGTGAGCATGTACCCGGCCGTGCAGGTGGGGAAACCAAGGTGCCCAGGGCAGAAAGACCGGGACCGAAAGCCCAGCAGCCAGGGCGGGCTGGACTGGAGGTGCCAAGGTGGCAGCACTGGCCCGAGTGGCCCTGGCAGGCAGGTGTGGCCAGAGCACAGCCTTGTCCTGGACACCAGGTAACAGACACAGCCCGGCTAGAGTGCCGAAGACGGCCGAAGGTGGGGGAGAGTGAGGGACAGGTGAGCGGGGAGAGGTGACGCCCTCTCCTGCCAGCTCCAGCCCTGGCGGCCCAGGGCCAGGACCCTGCCACAAGGGAGGCCTCAGTGGGAAAGCCTCAGGGGTGGGGATGACAGTCGCCTAGCAGACAGGTTCTGGGTGCTTCTGTGCCTGCATTTGCCTATAATCATCTCCCGAATCACAGGCTCCGTCTGGGCTCCCAATGGCACAGTGGGACGAGCCCTCCCCTCCCCTCCCCGGAGCACTTCAGCCAGAACTCACCCCTCCCCCCACCCCACAGCAGCTGGAGCTGGGCCCCAACGAGGGGACCGGCACTGTCACTGGCCACACACCTTCCCTAGCCTCCAACACAGCTCGTCCCCTCGCCCTGCCTTTCCTGGCAGTGGGACCCGCCACCTCCACCACAGGGCAACAGGCACCCCAGCACCTGGCCCCGCTGAGCTCCCATGAGCGGGGATGGTTGTAGCTGTTGGTGCCATCTCCCCCCAAGACACACATGCATGGTCCTTGGGTTGAGGTTTGGAAGCCCTGTATCCAGGGCCCCGTACCAGGGGTCTGCAGGATCAAAGGCCCACCACCTGTAGTTGTAAATAAAGTTTTATTGGCCGAAGCTGTACTCTCTTACACGCCGTCTAGGGCTGCTTTCGCACCACCGCAGCAGAAACATTGACCGCAGAGCCAGAAACACACCATGCAGTGCCTCGTAGGTGACGCTCGCTGATGCCCGCTCTAGCCTGACAACCCCTTGTTTCACCGGGGCTCAGCGTGCAGCCCTGGCTCTTCCTCCTGACCGGCTCTGACCTTGGGCGAGATGCCCGCTGGTAAGCGGGCGATGCCGGCCAGCATGGGGTAGGCGCTGGGGACCCCTCCCAGGGTGCAGAGCCGCCTGCTCCACGTTCTCCTGGGGCCGCCCCTGGGCCTCGCTCCCTACCAAGGACCACAGCTCACCTCTCGTGTCCAGACTGGACGCCCGCTGGCTGGGCTCCAGCTTCCATTTCTTGACCTTGAAGTAGGGGCTGGCCCCGTCCAGGCTGGCGTGGCGCCTCAGGCGGGTGAAGAACTGCAGGACGGGGCCTGCCCCAGAGGCTGGGCCCGCCTCCCCAGGCCCTGCTGTGGCCCCCGGCCCACCAGGCTTGGCACTCCTGGCCCCTGCGTCCAACTGTGAGGGAGGAGGGATTCAGACCCCCCAGCCTCTCCCTGCTGCACTAGTGCCAGCCCAGCCCAGGCCGCCCGGCACTCACACAGAAGGCAGAGGAAGAACAGGGGGCTGGGGGTGGGCTGGGGCCTCCTCCCCCGGAGGCCCTGCCCGAGAGGCTCCCCAGGGCTCGGCCAGGCGCTGGCCACCTCTGTTCCCCCAGCCCTGGACAGAGGGGGTCCCGGCCCCTGGGCTGGGCTGGGTCCCCGACCACACCCTCTGCAGCTGTTGGACTGCCCTGTGTGCGGGTGAGCCAGCCGTGCATGTGCCCTGTGTGCCACCTGCCCCTCTTCCTCCCAAGCTCGGGGACCAGGCAGGGGGCCACAGGCTGCCCCGTCCTGGAGTGGGACAGGGGATGCATGCGCGGGGGCCTCACCGAGGTGCCTTCCCCAGAGTCACTGGAAGCCGAGGGGCTGATCTCGAAGTCGGCAGGGCCCACAGCCGAGTTGTAGGGGTCACCTGGCAGGGCGGAGCTGGGGCCCACAGAGCGGCCGGTGAGGGCCTTCCCCGGGGGCTGTGGGACAGAGCCGGGGTGGGGAGGAAGCAGTGACAGGTCAAAGAGCACGGGTG